GGGGCGCGGGGGAGGGCGCAGCGCCTCCCCCGCAATGTAACTTGGCACGACCAAAAAACAAATATCATGGAGTTTCCCCAATGCATCTTCCTTTGATAACTGCAATGGTCTGCGCGCCTTGCTTCGTTCCTTCCTTCCTTTTCTTGCTTCCTTTCTTGCTTCGTTCGTTCCTTCCTTCCTTCATTCCTTCCCTGGCTCGGTTCTTTCTATGTTTTTTGGTTGAAGCATTTTTACTTATATTTTGATGCATTTTTGTTTATATATTTGTTGATACATTGTTTTTTTATTTGTTGATGCGTCTCCCTGGCATCCTCGTCCAGTTTCAGCTCTCTAATCTGATGAATCTCATTCAATTCCTCCAAGGCAGAACTAAACCACTTACAGTAGTGAATCAGAAAAATGGTCAACCTAAACCTAAATGTCGCAGAATATTGCAACTGTCTTAACAGTGTTGTTTGGAGGAACGGAAAATATCGGAAAATCCTAGATTTGATTCCACGGTATTATCTCCCCCACCAAGCTTGCTGCAAAAGTGGCTGACAGTCAATGGTGTACTTCATGGTGGCGGGTTTCGCCTTTGGTGCTGCTCTTTTCGGCGGCATCCTGGACGATGCCGGTAAACCAACAGCCGACGAAGCAAATCAATACCCAACTCAGTACGCGAGACATTATGACATTATATAGGTGTGCCAAAAAAGATCTATGTAATATATTTGCCTAGAGTGTGATGGCTTAGCACCAATATGCAGCAATAACTAACTAACAACAATTTAAATATACGAGGCCTTCTCGTTCTCAACGAGTGATATCAAAACCGACACAAGCCAAATTTACTACAGACTATATAGGGGATGCCTTCGCAAGGCCCACAACCTTTCCGCAAATGTTGTGCATGCTGCATACATGAGTTGCGTTTGAATTTGTGTTCTTTGATATCCAAGCAAGCCATGAGAAGTTTCCAGGTTTACCTACTCTTCTCGTGAAAAGGAAGTCTTCTGCATAAATCACAGCAATTTTTGTTTTAGTTGCACCTTGACTGTGACTGTTGCACAAGTCACGAGCATTCCGAAAAAGAATCAGAATATATCAGAATACTTCGCCGACGGGTAGGGCTCTCCAATATGTTTTTGCTCAGAACCTTGACCTTGCTCTTTTTGAGGCTTTGTAGAGGCATCCAAAATGATCTATTTAGATCTGATCTATATATAATATATAGTAAGATCTAATAAGCATGCGCGTGCGACATCAGTTGCAGCGACCCTCGTGAATCCATGACTGATTTCATCTCACTTCGATCATCCCAACCCCAGGAAGTCCTGAAGCAGCACTGGCACGGCCGGTCGCTCGAGCCGAGATGGACTTCGCCAAACTCTGATGTTCTGATAGGATCTGATAGGGGCAGGTTTTACTGCAACATCCCTTGTTACTAGTAGCATCTAGCTACTAGTAATGCCCTTGTTACTAGTAGAGATGCCCTTCTTACTAGTAGCTTCTATTCTACTGCAACATCCCTTGTGCCACACCATGCCTGCTCAGCTGGCTGATCGGTCTGGTCAGTCTGTCCATTGGGCTCGAACCTCGGACAAGAAAAATGGAGACAAGTGACACGTTGTCGCATGTGGCGCGCAGTTGTTGTCAACTCTGAGAGACAATTGACATGTCACAAGCCGCTGGAAGCAGTACTGTCACACATCGCAAAGACTAAGTTGGAAGACTCGCAGCTTATGAGCTGCGCGTTCGGAATCAGGATGCTGCCGTCGCTCCTGTGAAAGATGTGAAGCTGGTGTTTGAAGAACACAAAGGAAAATGATGACAGGTTGGATCACTGTGCATCATGTGCATGTGCTGAATGAGCACAGACATATATATATATATAAGAAGTTGTTACTCCACGCCTCCGCGTAGATGCCCCCATCGATTGCGAGGCATCTGCGCCTTAATGAAAGGCCATCCGGGAGTCTGGCAAATCCAACCCCTGCACCTAATCACACAACTCCGTCTTCACTGGAGAAGCGGCGATTGACGAATCTGAATCCATAGCGATCTGGGAAACTCCAGCACAAGAACAATCACCAAGCTGCCGAAAACTACCGCCATGATCCGCCATGGACATCCAGGATTTGAGGATACCCTTCTGCCAAGCACCCATCTATTTTTTTGGTTTGCTTTGACAAACATTGGCATGCACGGAGTTCATTGGGAATAGAACGGGATCAGTTCCTACATACCATGACACAATACCACTCTATATGATATACCGTACCGCGCGAGCCAAGCAACTTTTGGGTCAAGGTTTGTGTAAACAAGTCTAAATAACATGCACAACTCAAGGCATGGCAATAATAGCTACCAGCTACACCATGCCCATTCAATCCGAATGGAATGCAAACACATGTGTGATATCTTATGAGGAGAATGGACACCCGCAAATACCGCAAGCCTCAAACATAATGGACAAACATGTGCAGTGTACGTACATCAATGCAAGCACAATCTTAACCAAGTCCAGTTTCTCGCAAACTGAAAGTCGGTATAGTATAGCACTAGTTGAATATGTAATATATATATATACAGTATAATATATAAATATTATATACGTGATGGATGGAGGACATGTGCCAAACATGCCCGATCTATCCCGATCTTCTGGCCTGTCTGGCTACTGGCTGAGGCCTGCATGTGTGGGCTCTGAGTTGAGCCGACATTGGAGGGTCTACAAACTGGCAGTGACTGGTTCAGACTGAGAACCTAGGATGGCCCAGGATGACTATATAGGTCAAGAACTTGCGGCTCCATGTCTCCCTCACTCAAGGACCAGCGTCTCCATCCGGGACCTACCACAGGCGGCCTGAAGTCCGCGATCACCATCGGCGAGAGCATCTCCTTCCCACTTGAAGGGAGCGCAGCTCAGTTTCAGAGCCAGGTTGGATGCAGTAAATGATGTTGAATGACTATCTCAGTCTGCAGATGGTCAGAAGAACATCCACTCTATCACGAATGGCCTTCACTATATAGCATTATATAACTACATGGCGACTCCAAGCGAATATAACACGAGGCCGCGACAAAGTGCATGCGTCTAAAACAGCGTATGTGCACCTGTTGATTGGGATCGTCCATGAGGACGGCCAGGCAGAACAGATGTAATCCTGGAGTATGCATCGATCATGCCGTTTTATGGAAGTGTGCCGTTCTTGCAAAGTGTGGCATTCCACTTTTGGATTAGCCCGTTCCCTCCCCCTCCCTGCTTACTTAAGTAGGGGCCTACTTAATGAAGTAAGGGAGAGGTAGCTAGTAGGTACAGGACGCTCCTAGGTAGGACGCAGGCTATACAATGATTTGGTTTCTAGACTTTTAGTAACTTACAGTAATATTATGTGTCTGTATATATATATATATTACAAAGGTCTGCTTTAATTATTTCACACGTCGCCCGATTCAAAATCACGCCAATGTACCCGTTCCATCTCAGCATTGTTACATAGTTGATTCCAGCTCGACAGTCTTTCCGCTGAACAAGCACCATGCACCTGCGCCCTGTTTGGTACATCATCGCACTCAAGCAAACCTTAGGTGTCTGTCTGTCTGTCTTTGCTTGTGGGGCTCAGCAGTTCACACCGGGATGGATCATTAGTGTGTCTCTTTCATTCTCAGCAGTGTCTCTCTTCCTCGAAACTTCGGGATTCAATTGGAGTGACCGTTCACGCATGTGCCGCTTGTGATGTCATCTAGTGAGCGTCTCAAAAGGGCATTGCTCTGAAAAGTACTGGCCCGGTGCAGCGAAGAAGGCATTCGGTGAAAATTTGGGTGCATCAGAGCTCTGAAACGTTGACTATAAGAGCTCTGAATCTCTCTGTGCACCAACCGTAGCCCTGCCAATGCGGACATCAAATCCCTCTGGCCACTCCGCCAGGCCACCACGATGGCCAAAAGGGTCGTCACCAAACTCCAGTGCTCGCCTTAATGGAAACCGTTGGAAACCCCTGTCGCACCCGATTTCTTTTCACACGGCCCGATTTCTACAAAAGCCAAGCTGACTTCTGCATACACACGTGTGACAAAAGGCTTCAAAGGTCTCTGCTGTCTCTGCCTATGTGAGCTTTTCTTGGATGTGCTACCTTTTGGGCCAAGACCCTCGGCTGGGGCTAAGTTGCTTGCCGAAGAAGAAAGTGTCCCAGAAGTGGACCAAGATCACAGCGACACACTGGATGACCTGTTGATGAATGCTATATAATTCTCAAAACTGAATTGTGCAGCATCAAACGCGGCATCAATATCCCCGAAAAACATCATAGCGACCACCGCTGCCACTGAGAAAGACTCTCGGTAAAAGAATGTGTCTTCCCGCTTCTGGCTGAGGCCCACGCAGCGCGTCCAAGCGTTGAGAGGTATTTGGAGACATAACCAGTAAACCTCCCCAGTTCTTCACTTCCATCAAACCTTTCAATTTCCCCCAAGAGCCACTCTCCACATCGAATTACACTATGAAGGATGCATCTCCAAGATAGAAGTTGCATGGCAAACCGCAACTTTCTGGAGCCTGGTGCGATGTAACTGAATGCTCAGCACCCCACCAACTCTGAACCACTCTCGCAAGGATTGCAGCGCCTGGCAAAAAGATGCAAAAAGCCCTCGTGGCAGCAGCAACACACCCACAAGGCACGACTTCAAACAAAAGGTTTGAACTGAATAAACAAATCCGTGAGACGGCTGCACTAAGTCGTAGTTTCAAATGTTTGATATCTTGCAACGGTATTTGTCAAAGGCGTGTTAGGTGCTTAGTCTTGGGTGGACTGATGTCGCATCAAGGTGGGTGGATTTGTCATGTCGCATGCAGTGCTGTCTCAAAAACAAGAAAAGCTCCTGGGCACCAAACACATCCATCCGGAAAATGCAACGTGTATCATCTGCAACCTGCAAGTTCTTCATGTGCAAAAATGCTTGAAAACCCTCGGGTCCTTGCAAATCGAACTTCAATCAACGGACTTAGTGGAATAATTTGACAATCTTTGACTGCAATCCAGAACACAAAGGCCTATGAGTGCAACATGGAGTCTCAAAATGACAGGGCACCACGAGCCAGAGAAAAGACTCGTTCCCGTGGAGAAAGCTCGAAGTACAAACCTCAGCTTGCCGCTTGCGGCCATACGTCCCACTGACACAACCTGATAAAGTTGAATATGAGTGCTGTCTGGGCTCGAAAGTGCATACTCATCTAGTCCCTGCTGAGTGGCTACGATGTGCGACGATGCCCTTGAACAGCTGGGGCTGCAAATCTGAGCTACCAACAACGTAGGAATTGACAGTAGCAAGCCACCAGTCTCCAGCCAAACCTGATTCCAGCTGTGTCTCTGCATTCCCTTACAAGCTCCCAAATCCAGCCTTCCATCACCTTGGAAGTGTATGAACACAAAACAAGTGATACACTTCCATGCACCTACTTCCGGTCATTCTCCGGCCGAATCGCCCAGCCCAGCCTTTTGGATGTAGAAGTGCTGATCAAGGCTGCTCCTGTGTTTGATGATGTCTCGTGTCTTCGGTGGATCAGGCACAGGTTTCAACAATAGTGTTATAATACACAATGCTGAATGCTCTCTCTCTCTCTCGCCTGATTCGTGAAGAAACTCTCGATACAAAGCCAAAGCCGCTGCACTGCATGCTCAATTCGTTCGGTCCTTTCTGAGTATTTGGGCTTCAACAACTTCTCCAAGTAGACCGATGCCGAACACGAGAAAACCTGCATGATGCAAAACGCTCTCACACAGGAAGTTTGAACATGAGAGTGCCGTGCAGCTCTCTGGCCATCTAGAATCGTTCTCCGAAACTGCCACAAACGGCATTAGGATGCATTAGGCACTGAATCCGCCATCGAGCTGAGAAACTTCTCCACAAGCTGGCCATGCACATCTCATCAACCATAGTCATACGAGGTCCTCTGACCTCATCCCTCTGCTCCAGGTGTCCTGAGGTTCGTGCAATGGAGATGAAATTGTAGTGAATGGCCTGGCACTGGGAGGTCACACAAGCTGCGCTTCGCCACAGCAAATTCAAACGCTCCACCGGCTTCCCGTCCCACACCACCCGGGCAAATGATATAACACGCAAACAACCGAGAACAACCTTTTTGTGTGCTTTTGCTCCGCACCGCGCACCTGGTACGAGTGGGATAGTCCGGTCTCGCCTCGAATGAAAGCTACCCCTACAATCACCCAAAATGGCAGACTAGATTTGTCTGTCTGCAATCCCACACAAGCATCAGCTCCACTGCTGCCCAATGGCGTGCTCCAAGCTCAACAAAGATCATGATGCTCAATGTCAGGAAGACAAGTCCATGCACCTGCCACAAAGGTATGCGGTATGCGATGCATTGACTAATGTTTTGGCTGCTTAAACGCACCAACCGGATCAGAATTGGCCTCTAACCAGCCATAGCGCCGCCGGAAAACAAGGGCACTCAAGAGAGCACACAATGGCATGTAGAGGTAACCTGAGAACTTCGCTGCACTCCATTCGCTGCACAGCTTCACAGAAGATTCCAAGGCTTGAAGGAGAACTGAAAGAATCTGTATATATGCCACCGAGGCCCCTGCCTGTTACCAAGATTGCTGCCTCAAGAGTCGGCACAAACGATTCCAAAATCAGCCTGCTGGGGGCAAGTGAAGTCGCAAGGAAAAGAACTCTCATGTTTTTCATCGAAGGCTTGAACGTGCACACAGCATCTGGAATCACGCAGGTAAGTTTTCTTTTTTGCGGGGGGGGACTGGGTCCAAATACAAGTGCCGTGGTTCACTATCTTGGGGTTCAGTCTTTTCTCTCAGGATGTGTTATAACTCATTTGGGGTTTGACTAAACAGTTTCCAACGCGCAGAGTATGGGAGTTGCCATTTGGCTTCACTCATGATTCGTCCTGGGCACCCCCAACAGCTCCGATCCCTCGGCAAATGGCCCACGCCAAAGCACTTTGGCCTCAACCAGGCCGGAAGAAAGCATTTCAAGAACCATCAATATGTATGTATATAGCCAACATGAATTAACCTAATAGGAATGGCTTCCTTCCTGAGAGTGATGGCCTCCATCCTAAGAGCAATGGCCTCCACCTCATTATACAATAGCGATGGCCTCCAACCTAGTAGCGATGGCCTCCAAGTGGAATAAAGCATTTGAAGCTGAGCATGCGGTGGCCAGACCGGGGCCCCAAACTCAATGAGAACCCCACGGACACCTCGGCCGGTCAAACAAAGCTGTGTTCCTGCACGCATTTTCTAGGGATGGTGAAGGCGTCAAATCATAACTTGCGAGCAACACATACTGTGCTGTATACGTTTCATCAGCCAGGGAGGTGCTTGTCGAAAGCACAAACGCAAAAATTTGCACCAAAATCAAGCCCTGTATAGAGATCTCATGTCTCCACCATACGATCTTTGATGTCAGAACCGCTAGCGGCCAAACCTTCCGCCAAGCTCTTCTGAGCCGCCCTACTGGTAAACAGCCTTGGTTGGGAGACGATGGAGTGACCACATCACAATCATGGCAACCCATCTCGTTCAACCTTCTGGCCCCAAAACTTCTTGGCCAAAACAAAATTTGTTAATCACTTCAGAATCACTTCACTCAGGTTGGATTCCTGCAGCTTTGTTTGACTACAAGTTGAGGTGGTGGAACCCTGTAGCAAGCACCCACTCGGCAGTGCAAATGTTGCCACATGTTGTCACCATGTTCACACTGATTGCCCCTCTCATTGCCTTCGCGATGCTTGGAACCGCTACTGCGCTACTGTTTGCAATGTATTGGAGAAAGAATGCATGCAGCAAAAGGGGTGAAAAAGTCTGACACGTCATCGAAACATATCTGTCTTGATCCAGTCAGGCCAAATCCCCAGCTACGCTGCGTGACATTGCGTCACGTTTCTTTTCTCCCCCACATGGTTGCTTCCGGAATATGAAACACTTCTTACTACTAATCTACTAAAGTAGCATGTTGAAGACGTTGAAGTTGATTAAAGCTAAGTAAAGCCTGTTTAAAGCAAATGAATCATCGTGTGCAAAGTAATCTGGGAGGCCAGGGTCACTCCGTTGCTTCTTACATGCAGCTCTCGAGTCTCAGCTTGCGGCTCAAAGTACTACTCGGCAAGAACGCGGTCTTCACGCCAACCTTGCCCTGGAACGGACAGGGAAGAAAGTGACAAGAAGATTCAGCGTCGCAAACGGAAACAACATGTATATAACTGGTGGAGAAATTTGTGCCAAAGGGACACTTGCTTGCGATCCGCCTTTGCACAACCTGCAGTGTTCACCATTGGTATGTTAGACTGTATGTTAGGGGGAGTGTCTTGCAATGTGCAACTCGGTCATGGTGTTCGCCGCCCGTAAGGTTGTCTGCAAATGAGGCAACGCTAAAAATGTATGAGATTCGTGAACATAGTATGCAACAGCGGCTGCCAAAAGATCCCACGCGTTTCCCCATGCATTTCCCATTGACCCACTTCCAAGGCTCAGGGCCGCGGCCAACCCGATACCCTTTTTTCTATTCGCCGCAATGTCGGCAAATAATCAGGTGAAACATGACGTCAGGCACTCTAACACAAACATGTTAGTCAAGCTGCCTGGAGCTCTTGCTGATGAACACGCTGTCCAGTTGGAGTCCTTGGTCTAGTGACCAGTCAATATTGGGAAGAACCATCATCCTGTCCTGCCGAGTTTTATGTGTATATAAATAGTATTGAAATTTAAACATATATTAAATACTCCACGAGTAAAAGATTTGATCATCTCCACGGGCACGACGGTGCCACATTGACAACAACATGAAGGGATGTGATTGAACAAATTCGTCGCAAAAGCAATGTCAAACCAATAATGTTCGCCCAAAATCCAATGGAAGGCCAAGGCGACTTCTCTCCACTCATCCTCGAAGTCCGGGACCCTCGGGAGCATGGCAGTCGGGTGCTACAAGCTGATGGCACTTCGCGTGGGCTGCGATCACAGCTGCGAGGGCTGCAAAGCTCCATCAGCCTTGCCGAGAAGAAATCACAAGGCAGTGTGGTGCAGTCTTCCTCCGCCATCCTTGGTGCACAGGCTGGATGTCTTCAGGAACGTCTTAGCAGCTTAGCATGTCCCAGCATAGTGGCAGAGCCAAAAAAAAGGCCGAAGTCATCAGTTGAAATGAAATGACTTGCCGACATAAAACCACTCAAATTTTGACGAGCTTCTTTGACTTGGAACACTCGTGACTCTCCAATCTCCAAAGCTCTGGAAGGGTATCCACGTGACTGGACGTTGGGGTGTCCATTTCAAACGTGTCACTAGGCTCACTCTTCCAAGCGCTTGGAATGCTGAGACGTCTCTTCGGATTTTGCAAGGAGACACGTGTTGGAACCTCGGCAAGGAGACACCCTCCCACATGATAGACTCTCACGCTGTGTCCCTGAGTCACAGCACTATATAAAAATATATATATATATATCTGTCTATATATAGTTAAGATGGGTAGGATCCATGGGTAGATCTGCCAAACGACCACCAACTGTAAAGCGTTTCACAACAAAGCACAAGCGTGCAATGCCCCCTTAGCTGCATGCTACTAGGAACAGCTTTGCTAACCACGAACCACTCATCACACTTGGGCTACTAGTATCTTGGAAACTAACTGCCCCTGAAAATGTCTCCGCTGGGTTGCTTTTAGCACAGTTGGATAGTTGAGGGGCCGCGGTAAATATTGATTGATATGTAGTATTTGATAGTTGAATCACGTTAAATCATCCGTTGACTCCTGTTAATTGAAATCAGTGTCCTGCTAGATTAAATAGACTGGATTGGAAGGGTGAAATCCGAGCACAACTCATGCCTTGCCTTGCCTAGTCCTCCTTATATACATATCGTTGATCTACGGTTCTGTTCTACCTCTCCTGTTCCGGTCCAAAGTTGCTGTTCATCAATACCACCCCGTTTTTCCCTCAACTTCCCACATTACCGTTAGCGAAATACTGGGAATCTGACTGCTCTGACCATGTGATCTGATTTTTGGATTTGTCTATATAATTCGACCCCCTGATCGTGCGCTTCATTATGCTAGACACAACTGCTACTGCTGCTGGTTTATCGTAAAAAAGGGCTAAGTTTGCCGACACTCTCTGTCCAAAGTCCAAACTCTGGCCAATCAATGTGGACCTTGATTACAAGTGGGCGTCAAGGGTACGTTTCTGTGCATGTATGAGCAATTCCAGGCTTTTGGCCAGAACTCTTCAAACAGGTGATTCTTAACAACCAACCATAACATCCAAACATTGCTGTCAAACATCGCCTGAGCTAAATTTGGGTCCGCGCGTTCTATGTTTCTTGAGGCATGCATGCAGGAATAGGCAATTACTAGTGCGCGGCAACGGTTTTGATGATGGACTCGCCCAAACGAGATCCAAGTGTAGGGAGGATCTCAAACTGAACGAACGGTGGACAACCAAGTGCATGCAACACAATGCAAAATGAGAACAAACGACTGGCTCCGAAGGCTGTGCCCTGGCTTCGCTCGCTTCCACCAGTGGTTCATCCTCCAAGGGATTGAAAGGCCGTCGCACCAGCGGCACCTTGGATCCTTTTGTTTCCGTGAAAAACATCAACTATCTTAAGCAGCACTTGTGCACTACTGCGCACACAGTTGCACAGAAAATCAATAGCAACCACAGGTAAAAAGAAGTGCCCGCAGCAAAAGGCCTGCGGTGGAGGCCAAGACACCAAGAACTGATTTTGTGCCCTGCGAGCCATGCGGATGTCCTTCTCCACCGCCGTTTGCAAGTCAGCAGCTAAGGCACCAGGATTCGAGACGTCATGACAGGCCTTTCGATCGAGACATCCGAAGTTGAGATGCCGCGCCCATGCAGACTTGGATTTTGGCATGTTTTGGGTAAAGTAAAAATCGTGTCGCAAGTAATTAACTCAGGCACAACAACCACCTGTCATGGAGCACAACAATAAATAAGCAAATCCTGAACCTGCGCAAACAGCCCAAATCCATCCGAATCCCCGAATCCCTCTGCCAAGCTCACATGGTAGACGTTCTCTGCAAGCTCTTGCATGTGCCAAGGACGGAGCATCGACATGTCTGCGGGCGTCTCAGACGCCCGTGTCTTCTCGTCACGCGGACCTCGGGTGCTCATTTTCTGTGCTTGGCCATGCTTGGCTGACCCTGTCCGGTCCTCCATTTGTGGAGGTGGAACCAACACCAACTGACGAGGACTCGTGACTTTGGCAAACATTTCCACACAAAATTAAACCATCCAGATGTCTCCTCGCCGAGGTGCTTGTCTGGTTGACACATTGCTTCGCCGTTTGAACCTTTTCAAACCGAAGCTGCGCTTCTTGACACTTGGTGTCTTCCAGGAAGGCCGTGCCGATTGCTCGCAAACACCCCTCGGGCGAGTAGATACTTGTGGCATTGAAGACATCCTGAGTCGCACAACAAGCGCCAGGATGCGCGAGGCTTCACGTGGCAAAAGTTTACCTCATCATATATTTATGTATGTGTATATATATATACAGTATATATATAAATGCTTTACTCTTGTCACGCAAAGTGCCGGCCAGTATGAGTACCATTGGATTGCCGCCAAATGCAACACTTTACGATGCAGTGGCTCAGTACTGAAGTGGTCCAGTGGTCCCCTTGAAACCTTGAAAACGCACCGATATCCTGAATGACAAGCATCTCTATACTCTCGCACTTTGTCTAACAAGGTCTTCTCTGGTGGCCACACTCTTTTGACTTTCTCTGTCTGGCGAGTACTTGCCAGTTGCCCCACAGCAACACATCTCTGTCTGAAGAAGGCTTCTTCTGCCGAGGCCTCGTGGTCAGTGGGCGAACCCGATAAAACTGAATCAAGGACGCTACTAGTAGCTCCTGGCATTACTACTAGGAACAAGAAGCTACTAGTAACAAGGGCATCGCTACTAGGAGCAAGAGCATCGCTACTAGTAGCTCCTGGCACTACTATGTTGGACAGCTCCCGAGACCGCACAATTGAAACGAGGGACGGTTGCAACGACTTGCAAACGCTCTTGTTGACTCAGGTGGGCTGCAACATCTTTGGCAAAAAGTGTGTAGACGAGGCCGCTGGAGGATTCACAAATGACCTGGCGAAGATGCTCCCGCTCGCCCTTCAAGAAATGGCTGAGGCCATATGTGCTCCCTGGAGGCATCACAGAGAGTACCTGAGAATTTTCTGGCATGAGGGAGAGCGCACATGAAATTGGTTCAATCATATTCAAGCCAACCTATGACAAGCCTCGTTATTTTTCAAACCAAGGGAAGGTAGGGTAGCCCATTAAAATCAATTGCAGCTACAGCAAGCAAGCTGTTCGAAGCTGTTGGGATACAAAAGCCCGGATTTTTCCAGGCCCTGAGAGGCTTGATCTTGAAGACGTCTTTTTCCGCACGTTGTTCGACTATGTCCCATACCACTCGGCATTTAACTTCAAAACCAGGAGCAATGCGGGACACGGTCTGTTTCTCGATCTTGGCGTCAAACTTGTCTTTGTCCTTTGGCTCCTTCTCTCTTTCCAGGTCCGAGGGCCGGCGTCGCCGTTCCACGTCCGATGTGCCAGATGTGCCAGCTTTGGGTTCGCCCTTCTTCTCCTCGATAAACGATTGACCCGCGCTGGTCCGGAATAGTTGATATACAAATTATTCAGTAGGTTCTGCCACAGCGCTCGCCGCAGTGTGACACTGCTAGTCATCCAAAAACAGTGGGCCTCATGTGGTTCAATCGATGTGCAACTTTGGGTGTCCTGGTGTCCATCACTGGAGTCACATGTCACTCACGCCTTCTCTTCAGTCTTGATTCTCTTGATCCGTCCACGTAGTGAAAAGTTTCCCTCAAAGACCATGTACATGTGCATCACCTGGCAGTCATGTGGCCCAACTCCAGTCCAACTAAGAACATCACCCATGGAAATATCATAGAACACTCATAGAAAACTCATGTCACACACTCCATGGAAAAAGTTTGATGCTAAAGCCTAGCCAAAGCCACAGGAACTCCGATGTTGATGAGGAGTCCATGCCGACACAAGACGCGGCGCTGCATTAGCGCCGCCAGGTTCGGAATATTGGGCAAGTTCTTCAGTAACGCAATGCTCCGCAAGAAGCCTTGACCTTGAACACAAGGG